GCATGATATGTGGTGGATCTCATGAGGTGGAAAATTGCTTTATCATGGATCCCAATTACAAGTATCAAGGGCGAGCTCAAGAGTTTCCGTACCAAGAGTTTCAACAAGATTGTCAATCACTTGACCAAATAATTGAGATGAAGTCCAAAGAGACCAAGGTAATGCAATTGTGCTCGAAATATCTGGAGTTACAAGATCACATGAAGGCTCAACTTGATCGCATGAATGCTCGACTCGATCACATGATGGCTCGACAGCAAGATTTGACAATTCAAGAGCCACTTCAAGATTCATTTAATGGAGAGGTTCTAGAAGAGTTGCTCTTGCCAAATGAAGGTCATGAAGTTGAGAGAAATAAAAAGGATGATGAGGATCTTAGAAAGGAAGATGAAAAAATATTTGATAAATGCATTGAGATGGAGACACCAAGCTGGGAGGAAAATGTAGAGTTGCAAGGTAATGATGGCAAGGAACATATAGAGAGTTGCCCATTAGATGAGGAAGTTCTTAATGGAGCACATGATTTGAATGAGGATGTCCCACCAATGGAGAACACTTCCCTTGGAGAGAACTTCAGAGAAATTTTGAATTTGGGAGGCATTGGAGTTCTTAAGGATAATGGCACACATTTGCCTATCTATATATCCAATGATTCCCAATACTTGTTGGTTCATGTGAATGATCCGAGACTCTCATTACTTGTTGAACAAAAGAGTGTTGAAAAAGAAGGAAAAGAGAATGGAGGCATAATTCTTGATTCGGGCAAATGTGGTTCCTTACATGATGACGTGAAGGGATCGAGCTTAAGAGAGTTTATAAATGGACACCACTTGAAGAAATACTTGGAAGAGAAAGTTGATGGAAAGAAGGGGATTTTTCTTCTCCAATCACTTGATGGCTAGAGAGGTAACGTCGAGCTAACGACGTTAAATTTAGCGCTTCACGGGAGGCACCCCATGTTATCTTTTATTACTTTCCATATTTATTTATTGCTTTCTAGTTTCGTCTTATTTAGTTTTATTATTTTCTAGTTCGTGGTTATTTTATTGCTTCTTGCTTTTCTCTTTTCTCTTGTTCTACTTTTCTTTTATTTTGCATCAGGGATGATGCAAAGTTTTAAGTGTGAGGGGGAGGAATCATTAATTTGGGGATATTTCTAATTTTTTAAAATTTTTGCTTTTGCTTGGATGACTCATATGCTATTTTTGGTGAATAAACTACTTGTCTTAGCATGCAGTTACAATTATTCTCTCTTGTTGGTTTGTGGTTTGTTTTAGTGGTGCTTGCTGCATCTCAATTTGTGATGGATGATTTGAGGTGTAACACATATTTGATCTATTCTCTTGCCAATAGCTTTGTTAACCACTTAATAATTGGATTAGTTCTTGATCTTGTGTTTTGCATTGCTAGTGATGGCTTATGTGAGATTCCGGTCATGGGTGTTTTGCTAGAACTTGCCTCATTACTCCCTAAGTGATGTCTAAGTTTTGCATGTTTTGAAGTGATTTAGGCCATTTTTGTTTAGCCATAGCCTTTAAACCTGTCCCTATATATATTTTTATCCTTCGTGTCCCCATTGTGCCTTTTGTTTGTTCAAATAAGTGCTAAGCACTTATCCCCTCTTTGTGATTGTTTTTCTTTGATTTACCCCATTATTATAACCCTTAGCCCGTGGCCAAATATTTCCCTTCCACCCTTGAGAGAATGAAACTTTTATCTTTATCTTTTCCGTATGAAGAGTTTTATGGAGTTGTGCTACGAAAAAAAAAAAAAAAAAGCAGCCAGTGTTACAAATGCTCAAGTGTGGAGGTCATGAAAGTTTGGATTAAAGTTATCTTGCTATATCCCAAAGAAGTCCAAAGACAAAGAAAAGAATGAGAAAAAAAAAAAAAAGGAGAAAGTTTGAAAGTTTTTGAGTTTGGATCCCCACTTTACCAAAAGTTGCTAAGTTCTTAAAAGAAATTTGCTCCTTGAAATTATGATCATCTCATCTCTTCCAAATCTTGAAAAGTTTAGATAAATTGCGACATTCTCTCTTTTCGATTAATTTTTCCATACCACTTCTTTGTTAGCCATCACTCGTAGCCCCATTACAAGCTAAATAAAGTCCTATTTGATCTTAGCATGCATTCTTAGATTTGATCAAAGGAAGTATGAAAGGCAAGCCTAAGGGATCTCATTCATGAACCGTATCTTGCATAATCTCAACTGAGTATTTGTGCACATTTGATCCTCACATGCTTTAAATTCTTGGTGCTTAGTTATTGGCTTGGAAATGGGTCTCTTATGTGCCAAACTAATTTGATTCTTGAAGCTTGTTGT